GGGGGGGGGCAGTTTGACCAGCCAGGCGCCGTTCACAAGGACGGCGCCGGCTGCGCGGGGCGTGCGCGGGCCAAGGCGCCACCCGGAAAGGCTAAAGGGGGAAGGGGTAGGAGAGGGGGCAAAAGGGGAGCACAGAGGCGCCGTCTGCCACATTCCTCACTGAAAGGCAGATGATGTCGCACCCCGAGAGAGAGAAAGAGAGACTGAGAAAGACTCTTCTCTCCCCCCAGCATAGTCCTGCCTCATGCAGAGCTGTGTGGTGTGCTTGCGCGGAGTTGAGCGAGGGAGGGACGAAGGGCGCCCCCTCTGAGCGACGGCAGCCCTTTGTGGCGTGATTGGGGGGGTGCGTGATGGCGCATAACCACCGCCTTTTGAGGGGAAGGGGGGAGGAGGGGGTAAGGACGACAGAGAGGCCGACGGCGGCGTGGGGCAGGGCGCACAACAGACGTGCCGGAGGTCAGCAACCCCCTGCTGCTGGCCATTCCACTCGCGGGGCTGCTGTGTGTGTGTGTCAGAGAAATAGAGACAGGGAGAGAGAAAGAGGGCGAGATCAAGAGAGCGAGAGAAAGCGAGCAAGAGAAAGAGACAGAGAGCGAGAGCGAGAGAGAGAGAGACATAGAGACAGAGAATATGTGCCCCTGGCCAGCGCGGCACGTACGGCATACGGCTGAGCAGCCGAGCAGAGCAGCACAGAGTTGCAAACCAAGCACAGATAGCGTCCCGCCAGGCCCGCCCCGCCACCAGAGGAGGGCTCCCACGGCGATAAGTAGTAGGAGAGACGCCATGCCGGGGTCCCTCCACAACCACCACCCCGCCGCCGGAACTGCACACCCGTGTTGCTAGAGATGAGTGCCTCAAAGGGAGCACGGGGTGCACCCTGCTTCTCTTTCCGTATCTTCCTCCGCGTGGCGCCCCGCCCCGCCCCCCCGCCCCGCCACAGGTAGCACCTCTGCTGCGTCTGGTGGGCCTCATTAGCTCCCACTTGTTCACAATTACAGCAGGGCTACACAGCCGTCAACAAACACGCGCCACCTCACTCGGTCGCACTGTTGTGTCGTGAGTACGCCTGAGAACAGACCCCGCACTATACTGTACCACCACGTGCAGGCGTGCGTGCAGGCGGGTTTGTCTACCACCGTCTCTGACTGCCAAACCGCGCGGCGCCTCAACCGGGAAGATAATCGTCTCGAGGGTTTAGGGCAATTATCAAGGCTCAACTGCCAAAGAGGCCTCATTTAAGCCGTTTTAGGCCTCTTTAGTGCCTATACAACGGCATTGAACCCACAATGTCCAAAACAACCCTGCAACCCTGTGACCGTAAGACCATTTATTTTTCTAGAATGCACCCTTAGGGTACATCTAGGCTAAACTACACCATCCATTGGGTGACTTAGCGATGGGCTGTCCCATATCCTGCACGCCTTGAATGGCGTTAACATTTTGGTTACTTTTCTTGCGCGTCAAGGATGCACTGGGCGCCAAGGTCACGATAGCTGTGGGACCATGTGAGCCACTACCAGGCCAGCAGAGCGCCGGGGTGAGGTGAGCGTCAGCACCCGAGAACACCCCTCCGCAAGGACTGGGCTAGACCGGACAGACTGCCATGGACTGACGGCCATGCATCAGGGGGGCACAGGGGCAGGGCGGGGCGTAACGGATGCCACGCGCGTCTCTCGGGGAGAAGCGTAACGGCATGCGGCTGCGCTCCGCCCCGCCCTGGCCAGTGCGAACACGGGGCTCCAAGGTCGCGGTAGCAGTAGGGGTGGCGGTGATGTTCGACGGGTAGGTTGGCGGGTGGGGGGTGAAGCGGTGAAGCCACGCGAGTAGCGTGGGAGAAGGGGATGTTGGCTTTGGCAGCCTAGGCTGAGGTGGTGGTGGTGGTGGCGCCTGCAAGTTACCCTATCGGTTGCAACGAGACAG